TATATCTTATCTTATTTTCTTCTTGCTCTATTGAGAGAGCATTTTGTTAGAAGTAAATTTGCGTATATTATCTTATTAAGAAGATAATCATATTTTTATTAAGAAGTAAAACACGTATAAATTATTTTATTGAGAAGATAATCGCAATTTATCAGTTATAAATTTTATACATATTATCTTATTCAGAAAAATAGTTAGTTATATAACCCTTTTAGATCTATAAAAATAAATAATTGCCATGAATACAGTTACTATTACTATTTTAAAATAATTATATACGTATAATCTTAAAACGGTAACAATATTGAATATTATTATATTTTTAATTAATTTATCAAAAATATTATTTTAAGTAATTTAAAATATATCTAGCTTATTTTAATTAATTCTATATATAAAATAAATAAATATAATTAATATCTATTTACTTTATATCTTTATGATGATTATAAATACTAGAATATTAATACTTATTTTTTTGTAAGTAATAAAGATAATAAGATAATTATTAAAATACTATAAATAATTCAAAATAAATATTCTTATTAAATATTCTAGTATATTTTTATGAATTAAAATAGTATTGAAACTAATAATATAAAATAAGTTTTTTCTAATCTTCTTGATAATAAATAATAATATAATATAATTCTCTGCACTATTTATATTATATAAATATAGATAATAAAAATTTATAAGAAAAAAATTTGAGAAATTATAATCTTAATAACATATAAAAAAATAAAAATTGATTATAAGTAATTAATTCAAAAAGTTATCTATTCTTAATAATTTATAAATATATTAAAAAAAATTATCTTAAAAATAATTATTAATGAACTCTTTAAACTCATAAATACTCATTCCTTCTTTTATAAATTACTTTTATAAATGCATTTGAATTCTATTATAGAGAATTAAAATGAATAATATCTTATTTATATAAATTAATTAATAAGAGTTAGAGATTTAAGTTAGTAAGTTTAGAAAATTTTAATAAGTCAAAAATCTTTAAAAAGTTGAAATTTTTATATATTAATGTAATATATTACTTTTCTTATTTTATTAATTTGTGCTTGATCTTTATTTTTCATAAAATTATCACTCTTAATTACAAGAAATAAGCTTAATTTCTGAATAAAAAAATATCTATTTATAGTATTAATAATAAAATTCTCAAAGAAATCTATTAGTTTTTCTTTTTCATATTATTAAAGAGACTTCTATAGTGATGAATAAATTAATAAAAGATAAGAATATATCAAAACTTATTTTACTTAATTATTATTATTTATTCCATAATTATTATATATTATATATAAATATATTTTTCATAAATATATATATAATATTACTAAGTTATTAACTACTGATACTTGAAGAATATTTCAAGAACTATTTAAGAAAATAGCTTTGAAATATATTATTATTATAAATTTTTAATAATTGAGATATTTGAATAAATTAGAGAAGAAAAAAGAACAGAAAATTAGTAGCTTATGATAAATGAATTAATTGAAAGATTATATAATAAATATTAAAAAGTTGGAGAGATAATAATGAACAAACAGAAATATTTATTTTTAAGCTGAAAACTTCTTTAAATCCTATTTTTTGCAATTTAATTTTATTATAATTTTTTTATTATAACTTTTTTTAATTACAATTATTATATCTTCTTCATAAGTTAGATTTAAATTCACTGATTAAAAATATCTTGGTAATAAGAAGAGATAATAGAAAACTTTTTTTGATAAATTGAAAGAAATAATTCACTTTGCTTCTATTTGATTTTTACTATCAAATTTTTCTTTGATTAAGCTTTATTGAAATAAAAGTTTAATAATTACACATTGTTTATTATTATCCATTATCATCCTTAAGCATTGTGATCCTTACGCATTGTGATCCTGACGCATTGTGATTAAAGCGTTCTTGTCTTGTCGTTAGTTTTTGACCAATAGCGAGGCTTGATGCCATGTGATTAATTCTCGTGATTTATACGTCACATTAAATCCGATTGGTTGGTGATCTAAAACTTAATTGACCAATGATTGTGATCGTGGTTGGGTACTACACCACTTTAACGATATCCCTTTTAAGATCACATCTAATGACAAGATCGACAATCTAAGGAACACGTGAGTCACATGATAACGTTAACGATTTTTTATTCATAAATGTAATTTGATAATAATGACAATCAGTATCATTCCAATTCTGGAATCTTTGGTACTGTATAACTTTTAATTTTAATGATTTTTGTCCAGACTTTTGCACCAGACTGTATAGTCGCAGAAAATTAATGTGACTATAGCGCGATTATGACAATCGCGGGTGTGACTATTGCAAGAGTTTACTGTATTGGCTATGATCTCAATTTTTATGAAAAGTACAAGAGAACCAATACAATACGAGAAGGCATTAACTAGTCGTAGTAGGGGCAAGTGACTGTTCCATACCAATAACCTCTGGTAATTGTTGCTGCTGTCCTCTTCGTTTTTTCAAAATATTCGCAATGAAAAATTCTCCCGCTTTATAACTACTACGAACGAGCGGACCTGAAGCGGTATACAAGAACCCCAATTCATTTCCAATTTTCTCCCAGTAATCGAATTTTGAGGGGGCCACATACTCGTGAACTTTCATATGTCGTTTTGTCGGGCGCATGTATTGTCCTAGTGTAACGCAGTCAACGTCGATTTTACGGAGTTCTGATGTAATTTATTTGGTTATTTTTTTGTATTATAATTATTATTAATCTAATTTAAATTTTACCTTTAAGTGTAGCCAACACCTCATCATCAGTCTCACCCACACCCAACATGATACTAGTTTTCGTCACCAAACTCGGATTGACACATTTCACGTGTTCCAGAACTTTTAAGCTTTGTCGAAAAGTGGCACGACGATCGCGAACAAACGGCGTTAATGCCTCTACTGTTTCCACGTTGTGCGCGTAGACGTCCAGACCTGATAATGCGACTCTGGTGATGTCATTCAGGCTGCCTTGAAAATCCCCGGTCAGACATTCGACCATTATTTTGGGAGCCCTTTGTAATTTACAATATTTAAATAATTAATTTATAATTTGCTTTATTTTTTGAATTCGGAGAAAAATGAATAAATGACACACTTTTTTTTAAGTAGTTGTATTGTCTTCGCGAAATGATTTGAACCTCCATCGGGCAAATCTTTCAAATCATAAATTAGCAAAAGAAATTTTTCATATAAATCAATTAATGTAACTATAAATATTTCGTAATTAATTACCATCTCTATCCACTGATGTCAACACAATATAATCCAATCCCCAGCTAGAAATTGCGTCTGCGACATTTTCCGGCTCTTTAGGATCAAGTGGCTGTGGTCTCCTACTCGTCTTCACTGAGCAGAAACGACATCCACGTGTACACTCGTCACCCATTAACATTATTGTGGCGGTAGCAGTATGATGTTCACCACCGCCCCAGCAATCGTCAATGTTAGGACAACGAGCTTCTTCGCATACCTTTTGTTATATATATATTAATTAGAATTATTAGTATCAAAAATTTAATTGTTAGTATGAGAATGTTATGACAAGTAAATTGGAATCTTCATACAGTATGTAAATTTAGTCCACGTAAATCATTCTTTATTCGTTTATAATTTGCGCCGGCTGGAACTTTGGTTTTTAGCCACTCTGGTAGTCGTTGATGTCTATTAAATTTTTAATACAAAGATCAAAATATAAATAACAGTCTCGATCTTTTTTTCGTCTAAAAGTATTAGAATTATTTCGTGTACATATGAATAAATAATATCAAAATACGAATAAAATTAAACGAAAATAACGTTTACTTACGGCTTCTTTTCACGTGTGTTTTTTGTTGTAATTGTCTGTTCCAATGGCTCTTCAACACTCAAAACTTCTTGTGAATCTGAAGCTAGGATAAAATCTGAGAGTGAGGGTCCATTTGCTAATTTTTCTGTGAATCGCGATTTTCTCGTAGAGGTTCCAATTCCACGAATTATGATAAAAGTGTTTGTGCTGGTTAACTGACAAATATTTGATTTGTGGAGTTGTGATAATAGTAATAAATTCGAAGTATTAGTTTTAGCCTGTCGAATCCAGTTTGGCAGGTTTTTTGAAATGATTTTATGATACATTCGTTTCCTAATTTTCTTCGACGAAAATCTGGAATCGACAAAATCTGATTTCGATCAGTTTATGCTGCTCCTTGATTTGGATTGGTTCAGTTCTGAAAAATTACTATTTAAAAACTATTTGATAGTGTATTTTTTTTACTAATAATGTATTTAAACTAAATATATTTATGTATGTTCTAGACAAAGAAATTCTAACCTCATCCTTGTTATATAATATATAAGTTTGAAAAGAATAATCACAAAGAATATTAAATACATGATAATAAAGAATTTAAATTAGCAAAACATTAAATTATTTA